ACAAAATCACTTAATAATTGTCATGCTATATTTTCATTAAAGCCWGTATTTCTATATTGAAAGTAAAGGCTCTCTTTATTTCAACTCTCATTCCTTACTATACAAATCAAAATTAATAATTTTCGAGGCGATTCTGATGATCGCATTACAAAAGAAAGTGGCCAAACGATTCCTTTTTAAAAAGCCGTTGAGTGAGRAGTGCTCTATTTTAAAGTTCCAAACGCCATCTTGAAAGGTTTGCATCAAAGCGAGATGAGAGGAGCCTGCAGTGATAGATACCTTTCCTTCACGCCTAAGAGAATCATTGCAAGCTYAACTGCTGTCTCGCTTTGATGAAAAGCCTCGGCTAACATTCATTCGGCAACTGTCAAATGGACTATTGGAATATGCACAACCGAGAGCTACTGTTTTTCCATTTAATGACGATATAATGGTTTGTTTGCCAAGTGTGGCTATATCCACAGTSAYTTTCGGTCGAGCAGTACCTGCTTGTTCTATCCGACAACATTTCGTTAAATTTGCTGTAAAATAATATACATACAAACCCCCGATAAGAGCAATTCGGCCGAACACTCAGGCCGAAGTTTTGTAAACAATGAGTACCACAAAAATGCAAACACGTCATGGACGTTTTCTTAAAATAAATTATTATATTCTAGACTTACATTGCAGAAATAGCTATATATAACAATTTGTGCCTAAATTGTTAAATTTACATTAAAACAACTTAAGAAATTCAGACTGATTTTACAGGCAGCCCATCTAGTGAACTTCAAAAAAATGGATGTTCTTATATACGGGTTTTTATTACTGCAAATGACTACATCGGCGATAGTGAACTCCAATATCGCCACCATTTTAATGGTTTTCACCTCCTGACATGGCATATTCAAACCTATTCATATTATTATCCTTTATATAGTCCATAAGATACTTCAAGCCAACATTCATTATTGGCTCAATACAATTGAAAAACATCCTAATTAATTCAATATTAAATTGTTGATTACACAGAGGCCGGACTTTCTATGCTCGGAGCACGTGACCTCCTTAATTCCAGCTTACGACAAACCCACATAGAAATGATGTCATTGTTATTGTCGTCATTGGTCCTGATAAATGCATGTTCCTACAGATAAAACAAAATAGATAAATAAACCTTACTATGATATCGCGGACAGCAATAATAGACCTATCCCAAACTCGCTTGGATGAAAACGAAATGATGGCTTGAGTTCGAGGCTGGAGTTTTAGACAAAAGATAAAACTCCTGTCTCGACTTGAAGCCATTATTTAGTGATAATCCAAGGGATTGTGGGATAGGTCTATTAAACCTTTGTAGTATTCTTAAAATCTCAGTGTTTCTTACCACTACAGCCTGAGGTGTTAGGCGATAATTGGGACTTTTCTGCATACTAAAAACAAACGCTTGAATTATTAAACGATATAACTACAATGCTGTTAAATCACRTRACTTACCATTGCGCAACGAAATCAACAAAGAYTGGTGAAAACAATCGACCAGGTAGTCGAGGAGGAACCTGGGAAACGAATGCAAAGTTAATGTCATTGTGGGGACCAATCAGAATGACGTCATGAGTGTTTTAGCGAGGTGCATCATGGTATTGATGAAAGTATCAAGATGAAGGATGTCTAACAAAAACTAAAGACGACGAGGTTTCTTTGTAGAAATAACGTTATCGCTTGTTAATGCTTCAGAAGAACAGTAAATAAGATGTCTCTACAATAGAGCATGCTCAAACAACTGTCAGCAAAATAAGTAACGTTTGTTAGAGGAGAGAAGCGTTGCATGACGACTAAGAAAGCTAAGAGAAAAGAAAAAGAAGGCTAAGAGAACCCTAGCAACAGTGGGAACCATTTAGTATTAAAAAATACTTTAAACAGTACGAGGGGCATCAGCACGAATACCCACACCTACCTCATGTACAATACACTGAAGTAATTCGATTGGCTGAAAAGATAACGAAAATAACATTAAATGTCTAGTAAAACAGGAATTTACAAAAATATATTTAACAGATTTTCATTAGGGTTTTTATCTTACCAGTAAGTTGGCCATCTTATCGGGCTTGTCCTGACAMAAAACAATAGGACAATCAGAGATAATTATGTTATGTCATTAGTTCAAAACTTCGCAATCCGTTGTGGTAGCTATTGGTATTTACATCTAATTTCAAAAACGTTGCCCTAGATATGATAGTGAGGATAGTATAGTTTATTAAAATATCATATCGCAGCCTAGAGTCTGAATTAAACAATTTGTACAACTTTTACAAAACAATTTTGTAACACTGGAATAAATTAAGAAATAAAAGTTCTTTTTCTTGATGAAATTATGCGTATTTAGTTACTTAAAAAAGGTTATTATCAATACATACATGTACAGTGACTATCACTCTATCTGAAAACCTTTTATTTCCTATGACTGTTCAACGACACGGAAACGACACGGTCATGGAACCTTGCCTTTATTGATTCTAAATAAAAATAAAGTGCGGCCACAGCGCCAAGGTGCCATGTTTTACGAAAAGAAAAGAAAGAGAGAAAAGAAATCCGCTCTACTTTCTGTTGTAGCACGGTCAATCCCTCTGAGCATTACGTCACAATGACTGAGGAAACAGATCCAAATATTACAAGCTCTTTTAAAAACAATACCTTTAGGTATGGGAACCTTCCAATGGCCATCTATAAACAAGGAATAAAAAATAAAGCTAAGAACTACAAGTACTGTAAATATACACCAATATTACAGGTCCATATAAGTGCAGATTGAGATCTGATATAGTTTGTATATTTACGATTTAAACACACTCCATTSACAACAAATTGCATCCGAGTATTTATACTACAGAATCGCTTATGTATTGAATTCCTCACATCAAGTATATTTTTCGCTTTTTAACTGCCATACTGCTTGTCACAGGGCTTTTCTGACTAACAGCATTACACACATTGCATTTTTTCTTCATCTCGCCAAATATGGTGTTGTAATGAGTCTTGACCACAATGCATCTTGATTTTGCATTTCAGAAACTGTCTTTAAACTTTCAGTAAAAACGACATCAACAAAAACAGGGTCTTTTTTCTTCACGACGCATGCGTATTAGTCTAAAAAGTAGACGATGCAATAGTGGCGTTCACCCATCACTAGAAAAAATCGTTCACTTTAAAAGGTTGTAAATTTGATTGTATGTAAATATTATGTAAGTGTCCAAAATGATGTAAATTTGATGCTTAAATTTGATGTAAATTTACATCATTTTGGACACTTACATAATATTTACATCAAATTTACAACCTTTAAAGCGCGCGATTTTTTCCAGTGCATAATAGTGCAATTTGTTTSCAAGCACATCTAAAAACCTAATTAGTAGATGAAAAGGATCTCAGTTGACTTCATTCTAATATCAAGCAATTACTACTTACCTCAAATAAGGAGACACCTAGACTCCATACTTCTGATTGTATGTTATATTCATCACCTAATACACGCTCAGGCTGAAACAAACAGTATTATATTGTATTAGATTGATAGGCAGGTAATAATTCATACATATATAGGTTGAATAAAATAATATGTGAAGTCGAAAAAAGGCTTAGTATTTCGTCTTGCCAAGACTGATTTAATGAGCATACTTTGCATGCTGTCAAAATTGTCAGAAATTGGTACTTASGGAAATGAAAATCAACGTTGAAAGTGTCAGTACTTTTTATCGATATTTACACTGTAATTTGTMTTTTTATCATAACACTAAGTTTATGAAAGAAAGGAAAAACTTACCGCCATGTATGCATTGGTACCGACATACGTGGTTGCTATTGAATTGACTAACTGTGAAAAACAAAGTAAAATAAATCAATGAACTACACTACATACTAACAAAGAGGTCTTAACAATACATCTAAAGAGAAAAGGGAAAAATGCGCCCTTATTGAAAAATATTAATGGAAGTCACTAACTTTTTGAAAACAAGGGGAAAGAACAGCCAAAAAAAATCAGGCGCAATAAAATAGAAACCAACACCAAAACYGACAAAAAGGAAAAATAACAAAACTTGACAACTAAACTATAAACTACTCAAATACCACCATCAATAACAATAAAATACAACAAAAGAAAAAMCAAAACAAAAATCACAAAATCACATCACAAAACGAAATTAATAAAACATCTGAAACCTTAGAAAAATCAACAAAAACATAAAAATATAGAACTTATAAAGACAAATAGAGAGATAAAGAGTTTGCCCACATAATGCATCACCTGTCTGCTAACACCAAAGTCACAAAGCTTGACTTGTCCTCGAGTATTTACAAGAATATTTGAAGGTTTTACGTCTGAAAATCAAGATGCAGACAACTTTAAATTGAAATACAATCTTTAAAAAGACAGTGATGTAAAGACTGTTTATTATCTATTCATAGATCATTTTAATATAGACATTTTCTGTAATTTGTGTATTGAGAGATCTGTGCAGAAGAACTAAACTATTGCATGTTACCTCTATGCATGATTTTCAGTTCCCAGACATATGCCAAGGCTTTCACAACCTTTTGAGACAAATGTATARACTAAGAATTATTCAAAGATGACCAATAATAACAGCACACAAAAGTTCTGGCATTGTATTGCACTATGTAACATGGTCATAAAACTTAACCTGTTTGAGCTTCACAATAAAGGTTGTTTATTAACATCTAGTCATCAATGTTCTAACTACAAAGTATTTTTGTATTTCCTACATGTACTTACAGAAACTGCAATGCGTCCAAGTACAGGTTCTGGTATACTTCCATAATTCTCTAAAGACCCACCTGTTGAATAGAATTATACTCCATTAGTTTTGGAAAAACCTGCAACTGGCCCTGGACTAATTACACACACACACACTCTCTTTCTCTCTCATTCTTAACCAAAAATGTGACTGATTTAAATTTATTAATTAAAAAAGAAAGAAAGAAAGAAAGAAAGAAAGAAAGAAAGAAAGAAAGAAAGAAAGAAAGAAAGAAAGAAAGAAAGAAAGAAAGAAAGAAAGAAAGAAAAAGAGAAAGGAAAATAAATAATCAAGTGGTGATGAAAGTGTTAAGAAAATATTTGAAAACTAGTTAAAACAATCTTTGTTCAATATAGTGTTTTAGTATTGATCGACTGAGTTCAGTTTGGTTTTGCTTTATGGGAAAATATCAAAATAATTTTAAAAACTTACCATCCATATATTCTGTACATAATGATATCCTGAAATAGATAAGATTTGCTCTTAAAAAAAATTAATTACATTGAAACTTTGAAATTCAAATAATAAAAATAACTTACTTATTTTCAATAAAAAATGCACCATAAAATTCAATAATGTAGGGTGATGAACACTGAAAAGCATGATCAAAAAATCAATCAATCAGCTGTCAATCAAGCAATCAGTCAATCAATCAGTAAGTCAATCAATTAGTGAGTCATTTATTCAATCAGTTAATAARTCAATCAATCAAGAATTGAATGAAAACACTTTATATTGCCAAAATATTATATCATAGAGTAATAACATTTAAAGTACATCAAATGAAACAACACTGGCCCCTTATCCTGTATTTCAGTACAAGACAGTTTTAAGACGTTTTCTATCTTTAATCAGGGATGTAGCCACAAGTTTTAGAAAGCTCATTTTTTGGAGGGTTTAGTCCAGTCTTAACACTGGCATAACACTRATTATTTTATGTTGGAAGTGATGTCGTTAAATCCACTGTTGACTACATTATCACCACAACTGAACAAATTGACTTGTACATCACACTAATTTGAAAAAAAAAATATGTTTTTCAAGTGACAACAACCACTTTCTACACCACATTTCACAAAATCAACTTCAGCCATTGATGGGATTAAATTTGTCAAGGGATTAAAATGCATTAGCCCTTTTGCTACTCATGACCCCTTCTTAGAGGCCACTATAATAAACAAGAAAAAAAGAAAAGAATACAATAACACATGGTTGGTGATGAAGTGGTTGAGATTAGCGTACCTGGAATAGTATTTCCATCTCAGACATGATTTGYTTTTGAACTTCTTTGGTTACATCAAGGGGTATCACCTACAGTCGACACACAAACCACAGCAATCACTGGCAAGATCTTAACTAGACACGARGGTGGACCCAGAGTGTTATGAGGGTGCCTAGACACCCTCGTYTTTTGGGTTCAAAAATACAAAAACAGAAATTGATGTAAATAAATAAAAGAAGAAATTAAATTTCTATTGGTCTTATTCTAAAAATCAACTAAAGCAGTTTTCATCTGAGAGAAATGTTATTTGCTGCAGCCCTTTAGCGGGACCAAACTATTGCAGATGTCCATTTTTTTCCAATTTTTTTTTCCCTGAGTTAACCATCTATCTATTTAATGAATTGCTATTTATTGTATGTTTTTACCTTAACTGCATGGATCTTATTGGTACTGAAATCAATTGCCCTGCAACAGAACAATATAAACCTAAATAAATAAACTTGGGGGCAAAGATTTGAATTATAAAGGAGTATAAGAGAAGAATTTWYATCATCTTTAATCTTTAAATATTTYGGCTACTAGCCAAAAMTACTTCTCGTATACTCCTTTATTATAAACCTAAATGTAATTATATTTTTAACAAAAGCATGCTTTGTGCATAAAAACATTGATGGGAAGTTTCCAACAAAATCATTGTTTTAGAGCGGATTTCGTATGAGTGGGAAACGGACGGTACTGTACTGTGACCGTAATCGTACTGTAACCAAATTCTAGTGCCCCATTGGTTCACCAAAATTGTGCAGGCCAGGT